AAAGGTCAATGAGACTTGTTATTGTGAAACATGTCACAATCAGGTTAAAATGCGGAAGCGGATGGAGCGGATCCACGGAACGGATATGCGGATAAAATACGGAACGGATGAAGATAAAATGCTTCTTTTCAATGATATAACGACGTAGTGCTTATTATTCATAACATATCGTATACAGCTATTTCAATTATAGTTTTAGATAAGTTTAGCATAGCAGTAGCCTCGTGGGGATACTTTTAGCGACAGCTACAAATGCAAAGTGAAAATTTAGAATATGCAAAATTTGGTTGTTCGTGAAACAATTGAAATTTAGCATGCGTGTAGCATCACAATAAATAGATAAATTGTGTCAGTTTCACAAGGCACGTTTCTGATGTGTTAGGCGTGTTTCAAACGTCACGCTACTCGTGTACCGAGCGCATTATAATGAGATGAAATGCCTTTGGTAATTGTTTATTTCGTAGTGTAAGCCATCCGCTTTTCTAGGTTGTCAGCGAACCTATATAGTTCTTACAGTGTCTTTTTCAATTTGAAACTTCACACTATCCTTGGATCCCTAGTTATGTGCATCAGAAAAATAGAAAAGCACTTTCTTTAGGACAAGAAATTTTCGTTTTCTTTAATTTAAATTTTTCGGCAACACAGAATTTTATAAGTACTATTTACAATGACAATGTGCAAAATTCGAACATACTCTACAATACATAAGTCATCGGGTAAAATATGCATGGGACTTTGTTTTCTATAATTAATATTATTGATGGCATCTGCAGTTAGCACCCAGGGACAGATTGTTCCAAGTCGATTAACGCTAACTATAGGTTAAAACTTTGCCTGTTGTTTTAGTTTGTGAAATCCTGCATGCACGTCTGTTTATTTAAAAACTTCAGAAAAGAAAACTCTTATTAATCCAGACAAAATTTCTGAAGAAACATTTTCAAGTTTATAAACAAGCTGTTGGAAAGTTTACTCAATTCGAGGTTAACCTATATATGGTTAAGCTAACCAAGCTGGTTAGCTGATGTAATTATCGAAAGGATATATTCAAAAGAAATTTCGTTAGCATTTATATACGCAGTCACCTTAAACGGACGCCTTCAAACAGGTGTCTCCTAAAAAGGGCGGTTTTCATTATAGTTTTCATGCATACGTGTTGCACTCATTTTTCAATAGCTTTGTTGTAGGCAACCAAGTGTTATAGCAATAAAACTGTCCAAAAATGTAAGTCTTATCCAAGTAATTCAAGTGTATGTCTTATTAAACAATTGTTCACGAGGCTTTTATATTTATATTTCAATGACCTTTTTCATTTGCTTCAGACATTTGTCACGAATAATAGTCTTAAAATAGCAGTAGAAGCATAGAAAGCTTTGAAGGATTTCACCTGTTCTTCGGGGCTTTTTCTTCCTACACTAAAAAATAATCCTTATATAGACATTATAATTGCAAAGCTATACTTATAGCCTTTGTGGTGATATTTAAGTCAGTGTTGGAGACTGCCAGGGTACCTTCATACATGCCATCAGACAAAGACACAATTTTTGCTTTTTATTTACTTTATTATACTCCAAAGATCCTAAACACTATAAGCGCTCTGCTTTTGCATAGATCATGTTAAAATGTTTACAAGTTATAGTGTGTGCATGCATATTGTTACAGATTTCGAATGAATCCGATCTTTGTCATTGATTACTGTTTATTGGAATTATTCTATGTACATTCATGTTTTCTCTTCTACATTTTGTGACCACAATCATTTTCAAATGTGTTGGGCAGATGCTCCCATTACCTCTTCAACCTCATACCCAGGCAATCTCGTTCCCCGAGCCTGCGATCCTCGGGAAGGAACGCGAGGCTCTGGGATAATCCGTTGCCGGAAGCCAGGAATCCTGGCTAAGATTGAACTACGCATTCCATTTCAACGGCCAATCAGATTCCTCCCTGAAACGGATTATCCCAGAGCCTCGCGTTCCTTCCCGAGGATCGCAGGCTCGGGGAACGAGATTGATACCCAAGGTTCAAAGAGAAGCCTGGGTACGAGGTTGTTACCTATGATTTTGACAAACATCGATTCGCCCTCCACCACCCCCCCCCCGCCTCCGCTCAATGTTGGGTCTCGGTTAGCATTTTACTTTGATGTATGATCGGGTAAACAATAACCAACATTGGGAGGAGGAGAGAACTATAACGCCCGTATTCTAAAAGCTCACTCACATTCAATGAGTGGAGGTTCAATCTGAGCTTCTCTTGAATGTCAATGCTGTTTTTGAATAGCTGGAGGGTTAGTGTCGTACCTTACTATGTGACTACTCACCCTCCAGCTATTCAAAAACAACATTGATACTCAAGAAAAGCTCAGATTGAATCTCCACTCATTGAGTGTGAGAGAGCTTTTAGAATAAGGGCGTAAATGTTTGTAACAATTTTTGTAACATGTTCATTTATCCACTGATGATCTAAAACCGCAAGTATCCCATGCAACATCTTTTGAAAATGATTGTACTTACTTTACTTTACTTTACTTTACTTACTGATTTACTGGCATAATTTTATTAATTGGCATCTTTCTGGCTGAAAACTATTTCTTCTTTAGCAGCTGGTAATTTCTTCTTGTAAAGACAAATGCAATACCTATATAGACACCACTAAGAAACGCTACAGTCCAAAGCGCCATGTATATGTAATAATGAACGTTAAGATATATGTATCTTTCAAATATAACAGGAAACCATGTGATGGCAACAGTGGTTGATAGCTTAAGTAATAGCACAAAACTTTTGCGAGTCTTGACCATATTCGATTTCTGTGCGATGCTACTGCTTGCCTTGAGTTTTTGGCGAAGTCGATAAGCAGTGTAGATGAACATTACAATATTGTACAACAAAAGACAACCCGAAAGACCATATTCTTTCGTAATAGCTAACCAAAGAGGAATATTACCAATGACACAACCGGAAATGATATGATGATACAACTTTAAAACATCTTTCTTCACTAGTACAATGTAGACAATAGTTATGATGACAGGAACACCCCAGCTGAAGAGACTATACTTCAAAAACCTTTTCCACTTGTTTGCATCAGATTTCAGTAGAGTTATCTATACAGCAAAAACATAACGGCTTTAAAAGTGGAACTACAGTATCTTATTATACAATAACGTTAAGAATTCAAGCGGTTTCATTGACCGAGAGCCATGATCTATATATTAGAGGACAAATGCACGGAATTACGTCACACAAAAGCAATAGCATTCCCTTATTTGTATAGATCATGTACGCGTGATATTTGTAAAATTTTGACTTTTTCAAATTACCAAATGTTTGGGTGGATAAAAAGTAAGCTATTTACCTGTTTAATTCAGGATTTTTCTTATTTTATAAACTCGCCTCGGCGACTCGTGAGTTTTTCACTCATTATCACTTCATACTACTGTGTTTCTACTATTTGTTAAATAGTTAACTACATCTGAAACGCTCTTCAGGCAGCTCTATGCATATTTCGAAATATCAGGTCTTTGGAATCGTCAAATATTGTATTTCTACACTTTGTGCATCGTATGTTAGGTTGTTCATGCATTTGAATCTATGGGTTGTACATATATTGAAATGTTTTTGTTTCAAATTTTGTTAATTTTTGTAACACCTTGTAAGTTTCCATGGCAATTAACATGTAACAAATTGACTATGTGCCGCTGGGTCTATTTTTGGTAGATGTAAAGATGAAAAATTCAAACACTGATTGGAACTCTTAAATTTCGTTTTGTGCAGAGGGTATATTAGGTTCGACGGCATATTTAAATTTTCGTGATGTTCATATTTTGAAATGTTTCGTAATATATTCAAATTTTGTAACGCTTAGTCCGTTGCCTTAGCAACTAACGCGCAAACAAACTTAGGCCTTGTTTCCATATGGTCGTAAAAATAGAGTCACGATCTTTCTCAATTAACGGTCAGTTTATAATAGTTGTAAACCACATATAAATCATAAGTATTCTCTAGGTATAATCACTCCGCGTATTTTCATTTCTAAAATGTTGTATTTCGTGACCGATGAGAAAGATCGTGACTCAATTTTTACGTTTCAATATTTGCAGGGGGGGACTGCTTCTGTTTACGGTACTTGCTGAATGACGAATCACGACGAATAGCGCTTACGCAAAAAACAATGGAGATGGACTTCTGTATAGTATTCTGTGGTAGAGTTGTGGTTAGTTTACTCATGGTTTACTATATTCGTGTGCGAAACTTGGAAGGTCAACCAAATATGTATTCCTTCCCAAAAATTAAAACCATCTGGATCGTGAACTTACTCCACGTTGAGATTTCCCCGGGGTGGATTGTGGACTGTCAGATCACACACCCCATCCGCCACACGAAATTTAATAAAATATCACAACATTTTGCTTTTTATTCACTTTATTATACTACAAAGATCTTAAACACATTCTGTGTACATGCATTTTAAATTGATAACATTATATTCTGAGCTTTTTCACATTTGGATAGAATATGACGTTAAATTTCTACAAATTTCTACCTGATTACAGATTTTAAGTTAGGCCCCGTTTACACTATTACCGAATCGCTATCGCAGTGGGTCAAATTTTGTAGGTATCGAAAGGCTGTGAAGATTTTTGATCTCAGAGACCCAAATAAACATGCCAATTCTGTCAAACTAATAAGCATTTGCTACTAACCATTGCTCCGTAACGGCAAAAGAAGATGTCGTGACCAGCGAATCCGGTATAGTGTAAACAGGGCCTTAATCAGATCTTTATAAATGTTCATTGATTACTGTTTATATTAATTACTTATTATATATACACTCATATTTTTCTTCTATACTGATGAGCACGTGCTTGCTTGCTTATTTACTTATTTATTTACTTGCTTATGTTTATTTACTTACTTGCTTATTTACTTATATTTATTTAGTTATTGACTTATTTATTTACTTGCTCGCTTGCTTACTTACCTACAAAGCCACAATTTTTACAACTACGCGTTAATTGGTTTCTTTTTTGCTTGGAAATACTTCTCCTTAAGCAACATGTAATTTTTTCTGGTGAAGACAAACGCAATACCTATGTAGGCACCAGTAAGAGACGCTACAGTAAATAACGGTAGTATGATTTTACCATCTAATTTGTCCATGAACAAAACAGGAAAGAAGCTTATGGCTGTGGTGGTTGACAACTTAAGCAATATGACAAAGCTATTGCGTTTCTTAACAATATTTGATTTCTGTGCGATGTTCCTGATTGCTTTGAGTTTTTGACGAATTCGATAAGCAGTGAGGGAGAACATTACAATAATGTACAAGACAAGACAACCCGGAAGACCATATTGTGCCATAACAGTTAACCAAAGAGAAAGTTCGTTACCCTTGACACAACCAGTACTATCTCTTTGAAATTTTAAAACATCTTTCTTCACAAGCACAATACCAACAATAGTTATGATGACAGGAACACCCCAGCTAAAGAGACTATACTTCAAGAACGTTTTCCACTTGTTTTCATCAGATTTCACAAGAGTATTGCATTTCACAAGAGTGTTGCCACAAAAGGTTTTTCTTAAGTGATAGATATTAGCGGCAGCATTCATAAGTATACTATGAAAAATAAACCCCAATGTTATTTCTATCCTGCCGTCACACGGTATCTTAATCGCTTGACCTACACGAAAATACAGCGAAACAAATACTGCAGTGTAAGTCTGCCACAACAAAAAGGCGAAACTAAAACTCATTAAATTCAAACCAGGAAGAGTGCGCAGTTCAGGAAGCATGCAATAAACTATCAACAACAATAGCAAACAAATAGTAGAAAGCGCTAAAGCACATAATACTGCTACTTCAGCTGCGCCATAGTCTTTTACGCGATAAAAGTTTTTGATTTTTTCTTTACATATTATAAATTTACCTTCAAACACACCATAATCATACTTTGCTATCACCTGATCTGTTCGCAAAATGAGAACACTAAAGTCCTTACGAACAGTCTTTTGGCGGATCGTACGGATGTCTATGGGTTTATTGCAGCTTTTGTCATGCATTTTCGCCTTTACCCATTTATTGCGTACTTTCCAAATATTCCGTACGTAGTTATCACTGGAGTTGCAAATGTTTATGCTATCATTCAGAACTCGATACTCGGTATAATCGTACACCTTGTTCTTATAGAATATTGAAAAGTCAGTCCAAACTTTGTATCCATCATCGTATTTTATATTGATGATTGAATCGTTGCACATTGATAGATCTTCCTGCGTATACTCTGTTGATTTGGGTTTGAACTTTTCTTCGCATGTAAAAGGTTTACCGTCGTACATCCCATACTCATTTCTTGTGAAATATTGACTCATAACTGCGTAATAGACAGTGAACTGCTTAGTCACAGTGTAGGTCCTTGCATCTAATAATTTACTAACAGATTCGCGGCATTTATACCGGTCGTTTAACTTTTCCCACGAATTCCGAGTTTTCCAAATAGCCCGAATTCTTGAATCATTGGAAGCGCACATTTCAAGACTGTTGTTTCTGAATCGATATTCGCGATAATTGTACATTGTATTGTTGTAAACCAGCGAAAAGTTTTTGAAAACATTGTATTGTTCATCGTACTTTACTTTAACCAAATCATCATTGCAGGACAGACTAAGTTTTGCTGAACAAATTGCAAAATGTCCAAACATCACTCCGTAATCTCGCCTTGTGAAATTTTGCTCAGTAGGATGAAAGAAAACAGTAAAGTTTTTGAATAATGTGTAATGTTCAAAGTAAAAACCGTCCACGGATACATTGCAATATTTGGAAGCCAACACTTTCTTTTCCCGAGCGATCAAATCCCGCCATCTTTGTTTAGTAAGGGTGTCAGAAGAATCACAAACTTGTAGACCATCGTCCGTTACTCTGTACTCGTTATAACGGTACATTCGGCTTTGATACGTCATTGAAAAGTTGTTCCATACTCTGTAGTTATTTTCATACTTTATAGTAAAGGTAAAGTTGGAGCATTCGGTAGGACTTTCTGAGATCGCATCAATTTCACGTGTGTTCCGAAGATGTTGAGTTGTGAGTGAAGCGAACGTTTCTCTTTTGGCTGTTTCTCTCAAGTCATTCTGTTGAAAAATTTGATTTTCCAACGAAGATATATTTTTGCCGTCATTGTTTTGCCATTTTGTCTCACGTGAATGGGAGATGGTTGTCGATTCTTTGCTTGGAACTTTTACCTTGGGCGGCGAGGGCAGTTTTGGGCTCTTCTGTATTCTCTCACTTCCGAGTGTTTTCATCACAGTTCCTAAAAAATCAATAATGTGGTTGACAGTTGCTTCTTCTGAAATGAATTACGAATATTCTCACATTTTCAGAATTTATCTTTTCTTGCCATCTTTGAAATCTTCGTATCCTCGCCGTCAATTTGTTTCGCATTTCCTGTCAAGTTAGGGACGCCAATGTCTTGTTCGAGAGAAACGTCAACATGCAAGAATTTACCTTTGAATTCATCTTTTAATTTGTTCGGTTCTGTTTTATCTTCTCGCCTGTCATACTCTGAACCACCACCATGATAAAAACAGGCGAAAATCAGACAGAAGCAAAAGAAAACGACTCGATAAAAGAGTCGAAAACTAAAGCCACGACCCATGTTGCAACTGCAAACGTCGTTAAGCGACTGAGTGCTATTTTGGCAAAACACAAAGTTTAAAACGTTTTTAATCAGATCTTTTCTGAAGGCTCTTGAACTACACTCAAAACTTAAATTCAATATTTTGAATTTTGTTTTTTGGGTTGTTCATATAATTAAATTTATGGGATGTATTGAAGTGTTTGTTTCAAATTTTATTAATTTCGTAACACTTAGTCAGTTTTCACATAGCAATTACTAACGCGTGTAACAAACTTGCTGGCAACGCTAACATTACGTAATGCCTATCCCATTTTTATGTGCATCAGAAAAATAGATAAGCACTTTCTTTAGGACAAGAAATTTTCGTTTTCTTTAATTTAAATTTTTCGGCAACACAGAATTTTATAAGTACTATTTACAACGACAATGTGCAAAATTCGAACATACTCTACAATACATAAGTCATCGGGTAAAATATGCACGGGACTTTGTTTTCTAATTAAAGTTATTGATGGCATCTGCAGTTAGCACCCAGGGACAAATTGTTCCAAGTCGATTAATGATAACTATAGGTTAAAACTTTGCCTGTTGTTTTAGTTTGTGAAATCCTGCATGCACGTCTGTTTATTTCAAACTTCAGAAAAGAAAATTCTTATTAATCCAGACAAAATTTCTGAAGAAACATTTTCAAGTTTATAAACAAGCTGTTGGAAAGTTTACTCAATTCGAGGTTAACCTATATATGGTTAAGCTAACCAAGCTGGTTAGCTGATGTAATTATCGAAAGGATATATTCAAAAGAAATTTCGTGAGCATTTATATACGCAGTCACCTTAAACGGACGCCTTCAAACAGGTGTCCCCTAAAAAGGGCGGTTTTCATTATAGTTTTCAATAGCTTTGTTGTAGGCAACCAAGTGTTATAGCAATAAAACTGTCCAAAAATGTAAGTCTTATCCAAGTAATTCAAGTGTATGTCTTATTAAACAATTGTTCACGGGGCTTTTATATTTATATTTCAATGACCTCCTTCATTTGCTTCAGACATTTGTCACGAATAATAGTCTTAAAATAGCAGTAGAAGCATAGAAAGCTTCGAAGGATTTCACCTGTTCTTCGGGGCTTTTTCTTCCTACACTAAAAAATAATCTTTATATAGACATTATAATTGCAAAGCTATACTTATAGCCTTTGTGATGATTTTAGATATTTAAGTCGGTGTTGGAGACTGCCAGGGTACCTTCATACACGCCATCAGACAAAGACACAATTTTTGCTTTTTATTTATTTTATTGTACTCCAAAGATACTAAACACTATAAGCGCTTTGACTTTGCATAGATCATGTTAAAATTTTTACAAGTTATAGTGTGTGTATGCATATGGTTACAGATTTCGAATGAATCCGATCTTTGTCATTGATTACTGTTTATTGGAATTATTCTATGTACATTCATGTTCTCTCTTCTACATTTTGTGACCACAATCATTTTCAAATGTGTTGGGCAGATGCTCCCATTACCTCTTCAACCTCATACCCAGGCAATCTCGTTCCCCGAGCCTGCGATCCTCGGGGAGGAACGCGAGGCTCTGGGATACTAAGATTGAACTACGCATTCCATTGCAACGGCCAATCAGATTCCTCCCTGAAACGGATTATCCCAGAGCCTCGCGTTCCTTCCCGAGGATCGCAGGCTCGGGGAACGAGATTGATACCCAAGGTTCAAAGGGAAGCCTGGTACGAGGTTGTTACCTATTATTTTGACAAACATCGATTCGCCCTCCCCCCCCGCCTCCGCTCAATGTTGGGTCTCGGTTAGCATTTTACTTTGATGTATGATCGGGGAAACAATAACCAACATTGGGAGGGGGAGAGAACTATAACGCCGGTATTCTAAAAGCTCACTCACATTCGAGTGGAGGTTCAATTTGAGCTTCTCTTGAGTGTCAATGCTGTTTTTGAATAGCTGGAGGGTTAGTGTCGTACCTTACTATGTGACTACTCACCTCCAGCTATTCAAAAACAACATTGACACTCAAGAGAAGCTCAGATTGAACCTCCACTCATTGAGTGTGAGTGAGCTTTTAGAATAACGGCGTAAATGTTTGTAACAATTTTTGTAACATGTTCATTTATCCACTGATGATTTAAAGGCTATTAGTAAAACACGGAGCACGGAGCACGGAGCACGGAGCACACGGAGCACACGGAGCACGGAGCACACGGAGTACGGAGCACACGGAGCACGGAGCACACGGAGCACGGAGCACGGAGCACGGAGCACACGAAGTACGGAGCAGTAGAAAAACGAAAATACTTTATAATAAAATACACTGTTTACTATTACAAATTTTTGTTATTATTAATAAAGAGTTTTCGCGAATTTACACGTTGGGGAAGTAGGAAAATGGGGCTTTTACTGAAAAACACATATGATGCAAAACTGCCAAAAGCCATAGCATTTAAAATGGGATTGTGAAACTCGTTATCTTACATCCATCAAGCTTATGTAGTTATATTATATTCCGATTGGGCAACACATAAAGAAACACTTACTGTAGAGAACAGCCGATATATTTCGTTACCCCTGCCCAAAAATAGCCAAGTACTCATCTTTCAATGTAGCCGGGATCGACTGAACATTAAAGCTTGTCATGGAGAGAAGTGAATTTTCGGTTTATCCTTCGGCCCAGTGACCGGTGGCAGTGAGCTGTACGGCCGGCTAAGTTTAAACCGTTATAATATACAGTACATCATTACTGCTTTCATTCTTTCAATTCGTTTTGAATATTCGGAATCATTCACAATATTATAAAACTGTATAAGATGGCTGTAGAACTATAAATGCTGTAGAATGAAATAAATAAAGAAAAGTAAGTTTTCAAATCGCGGTATTTGCCGATAAATCGGTAATCGCTACAGAAAAACTGAACAAATTAAAGTAAATCACAACAAACTGCAGAAGTGAGACAATTTTTGTATTTTCACTGTATAAGACATAGTAGAACATGTACGAAATCTAAACAGAAGTGTGTGTGCATTCTATACTTTGAAACAACTAAATCAGAAAAATATACTAAAATTTGACAGTATTAAACTAGCTGCTTAGTTTTGAGAATTTAGATTTTAGGTATTCGTTGTACCCAGTAAATATTTTTGAGTTTTGAATTTTGATTCTCAAGCTGTTTTAATAAATGTGTATAAATCGACACTAACGCCTCAAAGGCGAAAAGGTGGGCAAGATTGTAACAATCGGTTGTAAACATGAGCAGTTTCGAGCATAAACAATCACGAGTAATTTAACGCATCTGATTGGCTACTAAATTCGGGAAGCCAGTTAAGTGCATGTACGTGTATTTGTTACAATTCCGATCAACTCTGCCAGTCTGCCGTTGTGACTGCTGAACCTATTAAAACTCCGCCCGTTTCCTTGCTGAATTTTCGGATAAATCTCATCCAAATAAAACCCTCTGTTTCTGCATTTGACGAACACTGACATGTCGCACAAAAGATCATATGCGGAAGCTGTTTCTGAAAGTACAAGGTTGGTAGAACTCACTATAACATAAACCAGTTATCTGTATTTTATATCAGAATATTATATCAGAATAAATTCTGAGGTTAAATGGAACTTTTGGATCAAGTTTTGTTTGCTTTAAGTCGAAAAAATAAGGTAAATTTTAATGTTTTTGACGAATTTATAACTAAATGCCCAAATATCGTTAATTTGTACTTTTTCTATAAATTTTATCCAAAACTATCATACTATTTTATAAAAGATGCTCATACGGTAATTTACTAAACAAAAATAAACTTGTTGAAATGAAATTTATTGAAAATGTGTTTTGGACCATAGACTTTGACTTTGCCTCTCGCTTTACCCTCGAACGTTTTTGACCCGAAATATTCTGATATAATATTCTGATATAAAATACAGATAACTGGTTTATGTTATAGTGAGTTCTACCAACTTTGTACTTTCAGAAACAGCTTCCGCATATGATCTTTTGTGCGACATGTCAGTGTTCGTCAAATGCAGAAACAGAGGGTTTTATTTGGATGAGATTTATCCGAAAATTCAGCAAGGAAACGGGCGGAGTTTTAATAGGTTCAGCAGTCACAACGGCAGACTGGCAGAGTTGATCGGAATTGTAACAAATACACGTACATGCACTTAACTGGCTTCCCGAATTTAGTAGCCAATCAGATGCGTTAAATTACTCGTTCAATATCATGTTTATGCTCGAAACTGCTCATGTTTACAACCGATTGTTACAATCTTGCCCACCTTTTCGCCTTTGAGGCGTTAGTGTCGATTTATACACATTTATTAAAACAGCTTGAGAATCAAAATTCAAAACTCAAAAATATTTACTGGGTACAACGAATACCTAAAATCTAAATTCTCAAAACTAAGCAGCTAGTTTAATACTGTCAAATTTTAGTATATTTTTCTGATTTAGTTGTTTCAAAGTATAGAATACACACACACTTCTGTTTAGATTTCGTACATGTTCTACTATGTCTTATACAGTGAAAATACAAAAATTGTCTCACTTCTGCAGTTTGTTGTGATTTACTTTAATTTGTTCAGTTTTTCTGTAGCGATTACCGATTTATCGGCAAATATTGAAAGATTTGAAAACTTACTTTTCTTTATTTATTTCATTCTACAGCATTTATAGTTCTACAGCCATCTTATACAGTTTTATAATATTGTGAATGATTCCGAATATTCAAAACGAATTGAAAGAATGAAAGCAGTAATGATGTACTGTATATTATAACGGTTTAAACTTAGCCGGCCGTACAGCTCACTGCCACCGGTCACTGGGCCGAAGGATAAACCGAAAATTCACTTCTCTCCATGACAAGCTTTAATGTTCAGTCGATCCCGGCTACATTGAAAGATGAGTATTTGGCTATTTTTGGGCAGGGGTAACGAAATATATCGGCTGTTCTCTACAGTAAGTGTTTCTTTATGTGTTGCCCAATCGGAATATAATATAACTACATAAGCTTGATGGATGTAAGATAACGAGTTTCACAATCCCATTTTAAATGCTATGGCTTTTGGCAGTTTTGCATCATATGTGTTTTTCAGTAAAAGCCCCATTTTCCTACTTCCCCAACGTGTAAATTCGCGAAAACTCTTTATTAATAATAACAAAAATTTGTAATAGTAAACAGTGTATTTTATTATAAAGTATTTTCGTTTTTCTACTGCTCCGTACTTCGTGTGCTCCGTGCTCCGTGTGCTCCGTGCTCCGTGTGCTCCGTGCTCCGTGTGCTCCGTACTCCGTGTGCTCCGTGCTCCGTGTGCTCCGTGCTCCGTGTGCTCCGTGTGCTCCGTGCTCCGTGCTCCGTGCTCCGTGCTCCGTGTTTTACTAATAGCCTGATTTAAAACCGCAAGTGTCCCAACATCTTTTGAAAATGATTGTACTTACTTTACTTTACTGATTTACTGGCATAATTTTATTAATTGGCATCTTTCTGGCTGAAAAATATTTCTTCTTTAGCAGCTGGTAATTTCTTCTTGTAAAGACAAATGCAATCTCTATATAGACACCACTAAGAAACGCTACAGTCCAAAGCGCCATGTATATGTAATAATGAACGTTAAAATATATGTATCTTTCAAATATAACGGGAAGCCATGTGATGGCGACAGTGGTTGATAGCTTAAGTAACAGCACAAAACTTTTGCGAGTTTTGACCATATTCGATTTCTGAACATTACAATATTGTACAACAAAAGACAGCATGGAAGACCATATTCTTTCGTAATAGCTAACCAATCAGGAATATTACCAATAACACAACCGTATATGATATGATGATGTACTATTTAAAACACGAGCCGGAGTGCTTTATCAGATATAAATCTTGATGTTAAGAACTCATTAAAAGTAAAACGTTTTCCTAATTTCCCAGACGAAAGATCCTCGCTCGATCGTCTCCGCTACGTCAACAGCCAGCACAAATTTACGCTACAATACGTAACGTTATTAAGGTGGCTCCCTAGGGTTTTATTTCCGGGGGTTACTCTTCGTATATATGTAAACTAAAACTTGTGTGACTTCGAACGGACGTTGTGTTTTTATATGGAACTCTTTTGAAACAAAAGTGTGAACTTTGCTTTAGTTGAAAGCATAAAAAGAGTTCTAAAAGACAAAACGATACTTGGATGTGATGTTTCAAAAGAAGATAATGTAAACTTGTTTTTTTTTCAAGCGGTATTCTGGAAGTTTTTTGAACCGCCGTACGCCAGGTTCGATCGCGAACATTGGGATATGATATAAAGTTTTCTCAAGAATTTGCAGTGTTTTCTCCACAATCTAGCAGCATTTATGACAATAAAGATGACTTAAATAATGAGCCCTCTACTGGTGAAATGAGCAGGGCCGAAACTCCAAACATACCACCATAAAAACTGAAATTTGAACGGGCATTTTGCGAAAACATCCGACGTATGTACTAACTCGCACGGGACGAATTTTGACAAACATTTTTCAAATTAATATCAAGAAATCATAATTAATAATTACCTAAATATCTTTGTCAATTTTACATGTATAATCCACGCTTAGTTGACCAAATAACCGACACAGTTATAAACAGTATATCAAACATAATTCATATTTTGTGATTTCAAAAAAGTCTTGCCTTGTTCTGCAGCTTCTGCAGAATGCCTGTACACGTCAGTTGGGGTATTAAATTGTTCGCGTAAAAATCTAGTAAAATTGCGAAAATTAATCCCAAATTTCTCCGTTTTCCTTCGGTAAAATTTTTTAAAACTTTGCACATTTTTTAGTACCGGCACAGCAAGTGAAATATCCTTTTTTAAAAAAATTAAATCGAAGGGAAAATTTTTAATATTGATTTTTGACGTTTTTTAAATTTTCTAAGAAACGTATCGATTTAATTTTTTTAAATTGAGGGGAAAAAATCATTATACAAGTATGACCTTTTATGCAAAGTTTTAAAAAATTTCACCGAAGGGAATTTTTAAAATAACCTGAAAAAGACAAATTTTGGGCTTTATTCTAAGCATGTTGTTGCCATGACAACAGATTTTTAACACAAAAGTTGCAATTTTTAATGTTCAGGAGAACATTGTCAATGTGCCCAATAAATTTCGTTTTCATATCATGTAAAGTGAAGAAACAGGAGTCTCCTGAATACTATAGTGTAGTAAATTAAAAAACCCTAGGGAGCCACCTTAAGATATTAACATCTAATTTTACTATGAAGTTTAAAAACAAAAGAGGAAGTAAGCTTATGGCTGTAGTGGTTCACAACTTAAGCAATAGGACAAAGCTATTGACGTTTCTTAACGATATTTAAATTCGAAGTGAGGCAGAACTTAAATTTAATATTTAAAATTTGTACATTGGGTTGTTCATATGATTGTTTATCTGTGCAAGCATAGAAAGCTTCGAAGGATTTTGCCTGTTTGGAGGATTTTTCTTCCTACAGTTTTCCTCTCTCACTAAACACAAATCCTTAGGGCCTGTTCAATATCGTTATCCCGGTTAGCGAGAAAACGCTTCGACAAGTTTACAAGCGAGATCTCGCCTTGGTATGAAAATAATATGAAAAGTTACACTGCGTTCATGTGAAACAAAACGTTTTCTCGTGTACCAAGATCTCGCTTGTTGACAGGCGAGATCTCGGTGACCGCGGTATAATGTTTTTCCTATATGAACACAACTCAGTTATCCTGCTTAGCGGGATAACTTTCTGTCGTGTCAGCAACTTTTCAAGTCAATTGATGTTCAGTGCTACGTCACAACCGGAAACTTTACCCGGTAAGCGGGATAACGTTTCTCTATATGAACAGAACAAAAGTATTTGGCTAGTCGAAAAGTTTTTTCGTTAACCGGAATAACTTTTGCCAATATGAACAGGCCCTAAGACATTAATTACAAAGCTATACTTATAGTCTTTGTCATGATTTTGAGTATGAGCTGTCTTAAAGTGATCTACAGATGTTGTACAGAACTCACTGCTGAGTTTAGTCTCTCCTATGCCCCTCTCTCAGTTGCCCCACTGTGACCATTGTGGCTGCTACTGGGGATTTAAGTTGTGTTGTTATTAAGTATGCCGACCAGGGGGGTCGTTACCTCTAACCCGCATAACGCAAGAAAATAGACTATTCCCCCTGTAACAAACCATATGGAGATATTTTCCCCGCCGAGACTTTCCAGGAGTGGATTGGGGACTGGAGGGTACCTTCACACGTAGGCGTATGAGACAAGGGGAAGGGGGGCAACTGTCCTCCCCCCCCCCCACAAAAAAAAAAAAAAAACTTCAGAAAACAATGCAAAATGTTAGGGAAAATGAAGAAAATTCGGGCGGATTTATCCGAAAATAGGTTTAATTCAGGTTATTTCATCACAATCTTCCATGAAAATTTGGGCAAACTTTGAACTCTTCCCCTGGAAAGCGTCAGCCCTGTACTGCTATGACTTCACACATCTCATCCGCCAAACGAAATTTAATAAAAAATCACAACATTTTGCTTTTTATTCACTTTATTATACTACATAGATCTTAAACACATTCCGTACATACATTTTAAATTGATAACATTATATTCTGAGCGTTTTCACATTCGAATAGAATATGACGATAAAATTTCTACAAGTTTCCACATGATTACAGATTTTAAATTAATCAGATCTTTATAAATGTTCATTGATTACTGTTTATATTACTTATTCTATATACACTCATGTTTTTTCTTTTACTGCTACGTGCATGCTTGCTTATTTATTTACTTATTTATTTGCTTATTTATTTACTTTTTTATTTACTTATTTATTTATTTATTTACTTGTTTATTTATTTATTTACTTGCTTAAGCATTTATTTACTTATTGACTTACTTATTGATTGATTGATTTATTTACTTGTTTATTTAACTGTGTTTTATTGCTGGGAAATACTTCTTCTTAAGCAACCTGTAATTTTTTCTGGTGAAGACAAACGCAATACCTATGTAGACACCAGAAAGATTTGCTACAGTAAATAACCCCATCTTTGTCTCTCGATCAAAATGCATGTTTTCAAATAACAGAGGAAACAGGCTTATTGATGTAGTGGTTGACAACTTAAGCAATACGACAAAGCTATTGCGTTTCTTAACAATATTTGATTTCTGTGCAATGCTACTGCTTGCTTTGAGTTTTTGGCGAATTCGATAAGCAGTGAAGGAGAACATTGCAATAATATACAACAAAAGACAACCCCGAAGACCATATTTTTCCATACCAGCTAACCAAAGAGGAAGTTCATTACCCATGACACAACTGGTAGTAGTAATAAATTTACTTGGATCAATTCTTAAAACATCTTTCTTCACAAGCACAATGTAGACAATAGTTATGATGAGAGGAACACCCCAGCTAAAGACACTATACTTCAAGAACGTTTTCCACTTGTTTTCATCAGATTTCATAAGAGTGTTGCATTTCACTAGACTGCCACAAAAGGTTTTTCTTAAGTGTAGATATTAACAGCAGCATTCATAAATAGGCTATAGAAAATAAACTTCTTTGTTATTTCTATCCTGTCACATGGTATCTTAAACTCTTGGTCTATACGTAAATACAGCGAAAGATAGACTACAATGTAGGTCTGTAACAACAGAACGGCGAAACTTGAACTCATTAAATTCAAACCAGGAAGAGTGCGCAGTTCTGGAAGCATGCAGTAAACTATCAACAACAATAGCAAACAAATAATAGAAAGCCCTACAGCACATAACACTGCTACTTCAGCTGGCCCATAGGATATTATGTATACGTAATAAAACGTGAATTTTTTTAGACATATTTTATAAAGTTTACCTTCAAACACATCATAATCGTACTTTGCTATCACCTGATCTATTGGCAAAATGAGAACGCTAAAATCCTTACGAACAATATAAAACTTTCGGGGGATCCTATGGACGTGTATGGGTTTATTGCTGCATTTATAATGCATTGTCCTTTTTACCCATTTATTGTGTTCTTTCCAAATATTCCTTATGTTGTTATCAGTGGAGTTACAAATCTTTATACTGTCATTCAGAACTCGATACTCAGTATAATCATACACCTTGTTCTTATAGAGTATTGAAAAGTTATCCCAAACATTGTATTTTTCATCGTATTTTATATTGATGATTGAATCGTTGCACATTACTAGATCTTCCTGGGTATACTCTTTTGATATTGGTCTGTACTTTTCTTCGCGTTTGTTCCGGAGATGTTGAGTTGTGAGTGAAGCGAACTTTTCTCTTTTGGCTTTTTCTCTCAAGTCAATCTGGTGAAAAATTCGATTTTCCAACGAAGATATGGTCTTGCCGTGATCGTTTTGCCATTTTGTCTCACTTGAATGGGAGATGGTAGTCGATTCTTTGCTTGGAACTTTTACCTCAGACGGCGAAGGCAGTTTTGGACTCTTCTGTATTCTATCACTTCCGAGTGTTTTCATCACAGTTCCTAAGAAATAAATAATGTGGTTGACATTTACTCCTTCTGAAATTAATTACGAACATTCTCATATTTTCACAATTTACCTTTTCTTGCCATCTTTGAAAGATCAGTTTCTTTCTTCGTATCCTGGCCATCAATTTGTTTAGCATTTCCTGTAAAGTTAGAGTCGTATTTGTTAGTTAGAGAAAAACATCAACATTCAAGGGTTTATCGTTGAATTTTTCTTTTAATTTGCTCGGTTTTGTTTTATCTTCTCGCCTGTCATACTCTGAACCACCACCATGATAAAAACAGGCGAAAATCAGACAGAAGGAAAAGAAAACGACTCGATACAAGAGTTGAAAACTAAAGCCACGACCCATGTTGCAACTACAAGCGTCGTTCAGCAACGGAGTGTAGTTTCGGCAAAACACAAAGTTTAAAACGTTTTTTTATCTGAACTTCTCTGAAGGTTCTTGAACTGCCATCAAAACTTAAATTTAATATTTCAAAATTTGTACATTGGGTTGTTCATGTAATTAAATTTATGGATTGTATTGAATTTATTAATTTCGTAACACTTAGTCAGTTTATAAACAAGTTGTTGGAAAGTTTACTTAATTCGAGGTTAACCTAGAGTTAAGCTATAACCAGCTTATTGATTTAATTATCGAAAGGATATATTCAAAAGAAATTTCGTGAGCATTTATATACGCAGTCACGGCCTTAAACGGACGCCTTCAAACAGGTGTCCCCTAAAAAGGGCGGTTTTCATCCATACGTGTTGTATAATTTATGGTTTTGCATGCATACGTGTTGTATAGTTTATGTTTTCATGCATATATATACGTGTTGTACTCATCTTTTAATAGCTTTGTTGATCTTTTGTTGTTGGCAACCACTTTGTTGCAATAAGACTGTCCAAAAATGTAAGTCTTATCCAATCATTCAAGTATATGTACTGTTTAATAAACGAGCAGGAGTGTTTTATTAGGTTTAAAGACACGAGCGCGCAGCGCGAGTGGCTTTAGACCTAATAAAACACGACCTGCGAGTTTATTAAACGGCTTCAAACACGACTACAAATTCAATAGATATACTGCGTTATTAGTATTCTTTATATAAAAAATACTAATGAGGACACGACTACAATAGATACTGCCTTATTAGTATTCTTTTTATAAAGAAGTTTTACTTTGATGTATGATCGGGTAAACAATAACCAACATTGGAAGGGGGAGAACTATAACGCCCGTATTCTAAAAGCTCACTCACATTCAATGAGTGGAGGTTCAAAAAGCTCAGATTGAATCTCCACTCATTGAGTGTGAGAGAGCTTTTAGAATAAGGGCGTAAATGTTTGTAACAATTTTTGTAACATGTTCATTTATCCACTGATGATCTAAAACCGCAAGTGTCTCAACATCTTTTGAAAATGATTGTACTTACTTTACTTTACTCACTGATTTACTGGCATAATTTTATTAATTGGCATCTTTCTGGCTGAAAAATATTTCTTTAGCAGCTGGTAATTTCTTCTTGTAAAGACAAATGCAATACCTATATAGACACCACTAAGAAACGCTACAGTACAAAGCGCCATGTATATGTAATAATGAACGTTAAAATATATGCATCTTTCAAATATAACAGGAAGCATGTGATGGCGACAGTTGTTGATAACTTAAGTAATAGCACAAAACTTTTCCGAGTCTTGACCATAGTCGATTTCTGTGCGATGCTACTGCTTGCCTTGAGTTTTTGGCGAAGTCGATAAGCAGTGTAGATGAACATTACAATATTGTACAACAAAAGACAACCCGGAAGACCATATTCTTTCGTAATAGCTAACCAAAGAGGAATATTACCAATGACACAACCGTATATGATATGATGATACAACTTTAAAACATCTTTCTTCACAAGTACAATGTAGACAATGGTTATGATAACAGGAACACCCCAGCTGAAGAGACTATACTTCAAAAACCTTTTTCACTTGTTTACATCAGATTTCAGTAGAGTTATCTATACAGCGAAAACATAACGGCTTTAAAAGTGGAACTAGAGTATCTTATTATACAATAACGTTAAGAATTCAAGCGGTTTCATTGGTCGAGAGCCATGATCTATATATTAGAGGACAGACGTATACGGAATTACGTCACACAAAACCTTATCCAATAGCATTCCCTTATTTATATAGATCATGTACGCGTGATATTTGTATAATTTTGACTTTTTCAAATTACCAAATGTTTGGGTGGATAAAAAGTAAGCTATTTACCTGTTTAATTCAGGATTTTTCTTATTTTATAAACTCGCCTCGGCGACTCGTGAGTTTTTCACTCATCACTTCATACTACTGTGTTTCTACTATTTGTTAAATAGTTGACTACACCTGAAACGCTCTTCAGGCAGCTCGATGCATATTTCGAAATATCAGGTCTTTGGAATCGTCAAATATTGTATTTCTACACCGACTTTGTGCATCGTATGTTAGGTTGTTCATGCATTTGAATCTATGGGTTGTACATATATTGAAATGTTTTTGTTTCAAGTTTTCGTTAATTTTTGTAACACCTTGTAAGTTTCCATGGCAATTAACATGTAACAAATTGACTATGTGCTGCTGGGTCTATTTTTGGTAGATGTAAAGATGAAAAATTCAAACACTGATTGGAATTCTTAAATTTCGTTTTGTGCAGAGGGTATTAGGTTCGACGCATATTTAAATTTTCGTAATGTTCATATTTTGAAATGTTTCATAATATATTCAAATTTTGTAATAATAATAATTATAATAATTTATTAATTTATAAAGCGCTATAACTATAAATATTCTAAAGCGCTATCATTACAAATTCAAATAAAATGTTATAAAGTATGAGATGATACCTATAAATACATGTTTAAAATTTACTATTATATTTAAAGATAAAATGCCTTTTTAAAAAAGAAAGGTCTTAAGTCTGTTTTTAAAAGTTTCCACTGTTGACGCCTCACGAATGTCAGCGGGAAATTCAAATTTACTATTATATTTAAAGATAAAATGCCTTTTTAAAAAGAAAGGTCTTAAGTCTGCTTTTAAAAGTTTCCACTGTTGACGCCTCACGAATTTCAGCGGGAAGTTCAAATTAACTATTATATTTAAAGATAAAATGCCTTTTTAAAAAGAAAGGTCTTAAGTCTGCATTTAAAAGTTTCCACTGTTGACGCTTCACGAATGTCAGCGGGAAGTTCATTCCACAAAAATGGACCAGCCTTGGCAAAAGCTCTGTCGCCAAACGTTTTCCTCATTGTCTTAGGAACTATTAGCAAATTTTGCTCATTCGAGCGCAGGCTGTAGCAACCAATATGCTTAGGTGTCAGAAGGTCTGAGATATAAGGCGGTGCATTAGCATGAAGAGCCTTGTACACCAGCAACAAAATCTTGAAAATTACCCGATACCGTACAGGAAGCCAATGAAGGCCAATCAAAACGGGAGTAATATGATCGAATTTGGGGATTAGACAGGTCACACGTGCTGCAGCATTGAGAACTCTTTGTAACCTATCATATTGAGACTGTGGGAGACCATAAAACAATGAGTTACAGTAGTCCAGGTGTGAAGTAACAAAAGCATGAACCAAAATCTTTGTTGTATCTTCTGAAAGGAATTTCCTTATCTGCCGGATATTATAGAGGCTGCGAAACGCCTTACTACACACTTTTCCAATGTGAATATCCATCGACATATGTGAGTCAAACCACATTCCGAGGCTTTGAACCACCTCCACAGGCTCGATCGTAGATTCACCAACTGTAATATCATTGATGTTAATCTTTGACATTTGCTGCTTTGAACCGATGATAATAAATTCAGTCTTGGAATCATTTATCAAGAGACGGTTAGAAAGCATCCAGGCACGAATGTCAGCAACACAGTTTTCAATACTCTTTAGTGCAGCATCTTGCGATAAAGATGTATCCGGCGGCCGAAACGAATGATAAATCTGGGTGTCATCTGCATACGTATGTGCATTGGGAAGATGTTTGTCAATAACCTTAAATAACCCAGCCACATAGAGTATGAAGAGGACAGGGCCAAGGCAGCTACCCTGCGGAACTCCCGATTGAAGATTGAAAACTTCCGATTCATGGTCTTTAATTAAAATTGTTTGTTTTCTCTCGGATAAATAAGATGTTAGCCATTTGAGGGCATTTCCAGTTACGCCAAAGTCTTTTTCAAGTGTCTCCAGTAAGATAGCATGGTCGATAGTATCAAATGCGGCACTTAGGTCGATAAGCACAAGAAGCGTAACCTCCTGCCGATCCAT